TGTAAAAATTTGCTATTTAAGTATTTAAACATTTTAATCCATTCTAACGGACAATGTTTTTACCTTATTTTGTACTTATTTTCTAGTATATTATGTGTTTATTGTCGTTGGTGTCAAACAGAGACCAAGTAACGGGGCATGGAAACAACTCAGGAGGCTCCTTTAGTCACCATCCGTCTCCTCCGGTAGTTTTAAGAAGCTGATCCGGAGTGAAGGCTGCAAACTTTGCTGTTAGCTTTAACTGTTAGCGACGGATATTTACAAGCCACCATCTTCTTAATTCAGGATTGTTTGGAAATTAATGAAAACTTAAAGCCCATTACATTTGGAAGACAACAATGTTCATAGTGTTGCTTTATTTGCGTCTGAAACGTCTTTCCTAGTTGTGACGGTAACTCAAAGCGGAAACCAGCAAGCTGCATTTCGCTCATGCGGATGTGACGTCAGCGCCGTATGTCCAAAGAGCCCTTGTGAAAATAAATTAGAAATTTAGAAATAAATTAGAAAATAATTTAGAAAAAAAATACTTTTGATAAAAATTTTGACAGGAAGTGGAGGATGATCGTTTTTAACTTCTTCACAGGCTTTTAATGAGGTTTTTATTAAATGGAAACTTTAATCATGAAATTGTTTTTTATTTCGACTTCAGTTGGGTCATGTGACTGAAACTCTGCCGTCTGATTGGCTGTTCCAGGTTTAGTGGCCGATTCCGGAGTCTCCTTCCTGGACCTGCTGAGGAACGCTCCAGAACCTCAGCAGGTGTGCCGCCCGCACCGCAGCGCTCCACAGGTCAGCCGCCAGGCGACGGTGGAAAACCAGTTAACAGCTGGTGTAACAACTCATTAGACCAGCTGTTAACTGGTTGAAACCTTAGAAAACCAGTAAACACGACCAGTTATCACCTGTCCTTCACCCCAGGCCCAGCTGGGAGCTCAGGTGTGTGAAGCCCCGCCTCCTGAAGCTGCGGGGTGGGGCTTCTGGTAAAGCTGGTATCTGTGGAGCAGCTGATTGGCTCTGACCTCACAGGTAAACAGGAAGTGGCATTCTTCTTCTTCTCCTCCAGGTTTACGACCCGATGTTGAGGCGCTTCGCTGAGCTGGAGCAGAAGGTTCTGGAGAAGAGCCGCTTCTGAGACTGGCCGGCCAATCAGGAGGCTGCGTTGGACCTCCTGGTTACTCTGGTGACTGGTTCTGCTCTGACTGGACGGATCCGATGGTTCTGGATCCTCCGGAGGGAAACGGGTCAAACTGATTTCTGTCGTTTCTAGTTTCTAATAATAAAATCAGATTAAAAACATCTCAGGTTCTGACCTGGTTCTGTTGTTTACTATAGATTATAATCTACAATCATCATTCAGTTTTAAACCCAGAGACTGACCTGGAGGCCCAGTTCAGGTCCGGTGTTCTGTCTGTCATACCTCGTCATAATGCGCACATCGATGTTACGTTTCTCATAAATCCATCAGACCTGTAGAAGTTTCATTTTGTGTTTTATTTCTCAGAAGTTTACGGTAAATAAAAATCCAGTTATGTCCGCGCAGCGTCCAGGAAGAGGTTTTGTTCTGCTTGTTCGGTCAGCATCCGGCTGTTCATCAGCTTTTTTAGGACGTATTCCTGCAGTTTTCTAAAGAAATATTGAAATATTAAAAAGGTAGATTAGCTGTAGGTAGTAATGGTGACGCTAAACTGGACGAATGTCTTGTTTACAGTTTGGTAAGAATATTGGAAACAGCAAAAGTCATTTATGTTAATATGTTTGATTAACATAGCACCTTAATTAAATAAAATTTACCGTAAACGTCTGAGAAATAAAACACAGGTATGACGGATTCATAAGGAATCTGCTGAGTCAGCAGTATGTGACGTAGCATCGATGTACCAGAAGGCTTGCTGGACTTACAGTATGACAGGACACCGGTTCTGGTCCATTTGGAGCAAACAGGACCTTTGTCTCATCACGGTGGGTTTCTTCAGAAACCCACCGCTTGGCTCCTCCCGAGAGAGATCCGGTCCGGTTGGGGGTCCAGTGGTTTGGATGTTGGAGGAGGAGAAGAGCAGCAGGAGGCAGGAGGACCTCCTGCTGAGCTGGAGCCATGATGCTGCTGGCTGCTCTGAGCTCATGTGAGTCTGGAGGTTCTGCTGCAGGGAACTGGACCCATTAAACTGTCACACACTCTTTAAACACACTCCTGATGCTGCACACACACAGGTTCCTCAAACAGATGGCAAACCCGCTCTGGTTCTGGTTTAAGATGAGTTCCTGCTTCGTTCCAACCGGATCAGAACCTCTGCTGGTCAGCTGGCTGATAGAGAAGATTCTCCTCATGCAGTTAAAGTTCAGGATAAACCAGCTCTGATTTTTAATAACCAGATTTTCCTTTAATGTGGAAATAAAAGAGTCGATCAGTTTCGCTCCAGATGCTGAAAACAGAACAAAGTAACATCTTCATCTTTCAGTCAGACTGTAAGTTTAGATCTTGGTGATGTATAAACCACTTTGCTACAAAAAGATCCGAAGATTTTATGTCTTTTAAAACATCAAATCCTTAATAAACTGAATTCAGTTCATATTTTTATTATCCTGAAGGACATTAACTCAGATCAAGTATCTTCAAAGTGTTGTAGCAGTCAGTATCGCAGTGAATCTCAAGAGGCCTCTGACTGAACATAGTCCTGACCTGCTAATATATCCCATATTCCACAGTAACATGTCCTGCACGGCTCCAACAGCAGCTAGCTCTGCTAACCCGCCTCCTTTGCTTTGCTGCTCCTCTTGGTAAAAGATGTTGGAGTGGAAAATATGATCCTTATGACGCGTATTAATGCCGTTGCAGATAGAAAAAAAGGAAGAGTAAATTACCGCCAAAAACTCAGAAATGTTGAAAATCTGTTGGAAACTCAGAAATGTTCATGTTTATTGTAGAAATGTTGAGTTTTCTTGCAGAAATTCTTTTTTTTTTTAACCAATGAGGCCATCGATCAGGCAGCCATGTTCCTGTGATGTCATCCTCTGGCGTTGGTTTGAAGTTCATCCAGCTTGTTCTCCTGTTGATCTTGGTGATGGATGGAGGAGACGCTCCTCTGGGATGTGGGGTCAAAGGTCAGGGATTATTGGAGCTATTAAGATGCTAATCTGAAATGCTTGTTGAGCAGCTGAAGCTCTACTGACCTTCAGGGTCGTGACCTTCAGGGTCATTCCTCCTCTGATGGAGGAGCTGAGGTGAATCGAGGGTATTGATCGGGTTGCTCTGCGGCAGCCGCAGGACCAGAACCTGTCCTGCAGATTCAACATGTTTACTGAACGTTCCTGTAAATCTGAACATCCGAACCAGAAACCAGATCAGATCCAAAACGTTTTAACCCAGGAGTCACTGGGAGGCGAGTCTCTGCTCCTCTGGTCTGCAGCTGGAGGGGAGCAGCTTCCTCTCAGGGTGCAAAACAAAGGTTCTGGACAACAGGAAGTAGAAAACAGGAAGTGGTCAGCGGCGGTCTGGATCTGTGACCAGAGCTCAACTGGAGCCGGCCGGGTTCCTGTCAAAGTTTCCTTGTTTTCATCTGAAGTCAGTGGGACAATCTGAAAGTTTTCACGCTTCAGCTGCTTTGTCTGGGATGCTTTTGTTGCTGCAGAGGTCAGAGGTCACGTCTCAGAGGCCTCAGCTTTAGTGGGCAGAGCGGAGGCTGACTGACGGATCTGATGGAGGTTCTGTTCACATGAAGCTGTTTGGGTCAAGTCCATCTGCTGGGGGGAGGGTGTGTGTGTGTGTGTGTGTGTGTGTGTGTGTGTGTGTGACGATTCGTTCCCAGGGTTTCCTCCTTCACAGGAACAGTCAGCGGCAGATGCCTCTGACTCTGTGTGACCTCTGACCCCTGCCTCAAAGCCTCCTGATGGTTTGTTGTTAGCGTCAGAGACACGGGGGTCAAAGGTCGCACTCAGACATGCTAATGTGTCTGAGTTTAAAGCTGTTCTCACTCTCTGCTGTCTTCTTGCAGCTGCCTGAGGTCGTCATGCCGACCCAACCGGGCCGACCCGGAGAACCAACAGAACTTCCACATCACCATGCCTCCACCACCGAGCCACTGGTTCCTGCCCAGAACCTGTTTGGTTCTGACTGGGCCGTGTTTCCAGACCAACTGGATCAGAGCCAGAGGAAGATGATTCTGGAAATGAAGCTTCTTCTCTTCCTCTGTTCAGTTTGAGCCTCCTGGTTCTCTTCAGGTCTTCCTCTGCTCTTACTCTGAGAAAATCAGGTTTCTGTCGTCCTGCTGCCCCCTGTGGCCGTCTGTGGTACTGCAGCACCTACCGATGGTCCAGAACAAACATTTACCAGGAAGCAGCTGATGCTTCCTCTTCATCAGAGGCAAATGGAGCGGTTATACTCTGACCTTTGGCCCCGTGACCCCATGCTGCAGGTTTGGGCCCCAACGAGGGCCCCACCAGGGAGTGCCAGTACTACAACGTGAACTATGAGGCGGAGAAGACCAACCGGAGCGGCGTGGAGGCGTGTGGAGGCGAGGAGGACAAATGGTCGCACTGTTACTGGAGGAACCAATCAGGATCCATGGAGCTGCTGAAGCCTGACCCTAAACCTTTATGTGATTTCTGAGACTTCAATAAAGATCAGATCACCATTCACACTTGTTCCATGCAGTCTTTTTCAAATTCAATTCTAATTCAAAACCACTTTATTAATCCTAATGGGAAATGAAATGCTGGTGTAACTTATTAATTCTTCAAAGAGTTACTGTAGACGGTGATGGCTGTAGGAAGGAAAGATCTTCTGCAGGGGTCTGTGAAGTGAAGTTTCACAAATCAGAAAAAGGTTTCACAAATCCCAAGCATGGATTTAAACATTCAGCTGTTGGAGTAGAATAGTCCGGTCCAGGTTTGAAGAGTCTAGGTGTTGTAGATTTGGAATTAGAGTAGATCTTGTGTGATCAAGTGTAACCTGCACAAAATAATCAACCTGTATTTTATTTTGGCGGGTCAAAATGACGGCACACTTTAAGTTCCGGGTCACAGGTGAATTCGGATGTCGTGGAAAATGGGATACCTCAAGGTAGTGCAATTAGTCCAATCTTATTTAACATAATGATTAATGACATTTTTTCTGATACAGATAAATGTATAAACTCTGCAGTGTATGCAGATGATGGGGCCAAATGGATGAGGGGGAAGAATATAAAACATGTAGGAAATATTAAGAAGGCAATTAATAAAGTAGAAAAATGGTCTTATGAATTATCAGCAAGCAGGTCTTGTTTTATGGTTGTTAGAGATAAGAGAAATACTGATACAGGAACAATGACATTATATGAACAGCCTGTGGAAATGGTTAAAGAATTTAAATATTTAGGATTATGGTTAGTTCTTATACATGGAAAACACATTTAGATAACTTAGAAACTAAATGTAAGAAAGTTATAAATCTATAAAGGCTGTGGCTGGAAATAACTAGACAGTCATTATTAAACATACATAGGGCTCTTATGAGATCAATAATCGATTATGGCAGTTTTATACATGGAGCAGCAGCTAAAACACTACAAAACACAGATGGACTGCAGAGTTGGGCTTTATATGTACAGGAGGTGAAAACGACACGTATTAACGCTCTTCTAACAGAGACTGGAGAGAGAAGAATTAAATTAGCTTTAGTTTATTGGAGGAAAATGAAAAGAGAATGTAACTTCAACTATATTACCAAACTGTTGGGGATATGCAGTTCCAGAGTTAATGGTTTTGGATGGATGATAAGTAAACTGACCAAAGTGTATGGATTAGAGGATAAGAAAATATCTCAGTTTAATCCGATTGGTGTTGTTCCTCCATGGCTGCTTCCTGAGGTTAATGTAGACATGAGATTTCTTAAAATGAAAAATGATTGGAGTTTAAATGAAATGGGGGGAAAGACTGATGTATATTTAAGAAACTCATATTATAATTACCTCAAAATTTATTCAGATGGTTCTAAAAATCTTAAAGGATGTGTGGGAATAGGAATAAATATACCAGAGTTTGAAATTCACATTTCTAAAAGATGATCAGATCACCTGTCTGTTTCCACAGCAGAAATGATGGCAGGTATATTCAGCTTACAGTGGACAGAGGAGGTTCGACCAGACAGGTGGTGGCATGCACAGGTCCTACAGCAGTTTTAGAAAGTATTCAGGGAGAAGGAAATAATAGGAAAGATTTAGTATTAGAAACTCAGCATAGTTTATATAGATTATATAGAGGTGGCATCGATGTTTGGTTCTGCTGGTACCAGTTCATGAAGGGGTAAAAGGAAATGAAAGGCAGATAAATGAGCAAAAAGGGCTTTAGAGGTGGCAACAATGATTATAATTCCTTTGGGGGAAGGGGAATCATTTATTAAGAGTAAAGAAATGGAAAAATGGTAAAAAAGGTGGAATGAAGATAAGAAAGGAGAAGATTATATAAAGTACAAAAGTCAGTATTAATTAGAAATATTAATGAGAGAAACAGAAGGGAAGAAATAATAATGTCCAGATTATGACCAGGTCATACCTATTTAAATGATATTTTATATTAAATAGGGAAGAAAAGTAATGATAAATGTGAAGGATGTGGAGAGAAAGAAAATGTAGAACATGTGAATCTGAAAGGCAGAATTTGAAAAGAATGGGAGGAAGGACAGGTCAGGCATGGAGTCTGGAAGGAATATTAGGAAATGAAGGAAACATAATGGATATTTATAGATTGAGAAAAGCATTATTTATTTTTCTTCGAAATACAAGAATAATAA